GTCGGGCATCTTGAATTTGGGACCCTTTAACTTTCCTTCTGGACATTCTAGGTCAACATCCGGAGCCTCTATGTCCACCTTTGGACCTTTTACTGTAACCTCAGGGCCTTTCAGGTCACCTTCTAACTTGGGAATGGAAACATCAACACCCCCCTTTCCTTTTGGACCTTTCAGGTTCAGATCAAAGTCCGGCATGGAGATCTTGGGAGCCTTAAAATGCATCTCAGGCATCTTAAATTTGGGGCCTTTCAACTTCCCCTCTGGGACCTCAATATCCACATCAGGAGCTTCTATATCCAGTTTAGGACCTTTGATATCCATCTCGGGGCCTTTCAAGTCACCCTCTAGTTTGGGGGCAGAAACATCCACATCTCCCTTCAGCTTATGACTTTTCAAGTTCAAATCAATGTCGGGCATGGAGATTTTTGGTGTCTTGAAGTGCATTTCAGGCATCTTGAACTTGGGCCCTTTAACTTTTGCTTCTGGACACTCTAGGTCAACATCAGGAACGTTAACATCCAGTTTAGGGCCTTTGATGTCCACGTGCCCTTGATGTCCACCTCGGGACCTTTCAGGTCACCTTCCAGCTTGGGAACAGAAACATCCACATCCCCCTTCACTTTGGGGCCTTTCAGGTTCAGATCAAAGTCCGGCATGGAGATTTTGGGGGCTTTGAAATGCATGTCGGGCATCTTGAATTTGGGACCCTTTATCTTTCCTTCTGGGCCCTCAATGTCTATGTCAGGAGCTTCTATGTCCACTTTGGGCCCTTGGAGTTCCAGATCTGGCCCTTTCACATCACCCTCTATTTTCGGTACAGAAACATCCATTTCTCCCATCATTTTGGGACCTTTCAAGTTGAGGTCTACATCAGGCATAGAAAATTTAGGTGCCTTAATATGCATATCTGGCATTTTTATCTTGGGTCCTTTCCATTTTCCCTCAGGACCTTCAACATCAAAATCAGGAACATCAACATCCAACTTCGGGCCTTTAATATTCACATCAGGTCCTTTCAAGTCACCCTCTAATTTTGGAACAGAAATGTCAGCGCCCCCCTTCACTTTGGGGCCTTTCAAGTTCAAGTCAATGTCAGGCATGGAGATCTTGGGTGCCTTGATGTGCATCTCGGGCATCTTAAATTTGGGACCTTTCAGTTTTCCTTCAGGACCCTCGATGTCCACGCTTGGCAACTCGGTATCGACCTTTGGGATGGAGACATCAATATCCCCTTTCGGGAGGTTCACGTCCACCTCTGGGCCTTCTCC